CAGTCGGACACTCTACCACTGCACCAACGAGGCGTATGAGTTTAAACCTTCTATGTTATCCACCTATGTTGAAATTCAGATTATTTTTTTTTTTGTGGTATAGAGGGCAAGGAAACAGACCAGCCACCCGATGGTAAGCGACTACCGCCGACCACGGGCATCTGTAACTCTGCCGCTCTTTGAGTGAGAATTAGGGAGGATGGAATGAACCTCCCGTAACCTCTCTCACTCTGTAAATAGCTAGTAAAATTATTTAAGTCTTTTAAAGAGATTCGAATTCCTTACAAAGGACCTGGTATCCACATTTATGACTATTCATATATAATAGTGAATACTAAACGTATGACGTAGTGGTTTAAGTTGTCACCTTCTCGCTTCCTACTGCCCTGAGTGTTGTGGTTATGATCCACACATGGGACAACACTTTGTGTGATCCACAAATTGTTGTTCTTAGTCTGGGCGTTCCTTGTGTCCGTTTAATGTATGTTTGTAAAGTTCCCCGCGACACAGGATATATACTAGTGCAGAAGTAGTCTTTTTTAAATAATTAAAATAATATAATTGACCATTGATTCTATGGGTTATGTTATGGGTGACCTCGTTACCGTTACTGATTGAACACCGGTCTAGACGTTTTTCCAATAAATTATGATTTCAATAATGTATGGGCGGACTATTCTTCAGTATGGTGTATTTTATGTACAGGGTTCTTGAAGTAAGCATAGGTTTTGAGGCCTCGTGTAGGATTTTAAAGAATTACCCTGAAAACATTCCCTACTTATAATTAAATTTTCGAATAGTAAGTTTTTGATCTTATAAGGGAGGAAAGAAAAGACGGCTCGCTTGAAGGTAAGAGGCCATCAATTAATTATGTCACACGCCTTCGAATTGTGACATTGAGTGACAAAGCGTGCTAGGGTTTTGTGACGTCACATTTCAAAAGTTAATTTTTAGTTTTGTTAATTTTGCCAAATGTTTGACTTGATTTTTATTTTATATTAAATTTAAATGGTACGAGTAATAAATTAATTTTGGAACTGCTATTTCAATTTAATAATTTCTAGATGTGAAATCGCAAAATATGTGATGTCACACAAATGTGACCAGCTGTGACAAGGAAGGAAGGTGGGGGTCAAAATTCATGAAATATAATTTAATCTCACTCACTTAGTGTAAAGCAATAAAAGAATTGCTTAAAATCGGTATTCTTTGAGGCCGCGGCATCACCATATCGGTGGCATGTCGGACTCGAACCGACTAAAACCGCACGCCGTCTCGGGTACTCGGAGGGAAAGGAAGTCGCCGCGGCATCACCCTGGTCAAGCCGGACGGCCATTACTCTCCCACGGTAATATTCTATTTAATATTATTTTGCAAAAGAACATTTATTCCACCTCCATTAAATCCGAGTGCGACGATACTGAAGTGTTATGATACTGGCCGTCCGTTATCAGGACAGTAATTGACACTTTGATTTAATTGCACCAAAATCCACAAGTGTTGGGTCCCTTAATTATGTTTTTTTTACCCGACAATAACATATAGATTATAAATAAACCTATGTTTGCTAACTATATGGATGCGGCGGAGGATAGTAGGAAGCGATCAAAATACGCCGCAATGGAGACGCATTATTATTTTGTGCCTATTGCGGTGGAGACTTTGGGCAGTTGGGGTCGGAAGCTAAAGATTGGTCGCTGAGTTAGGGATAAAAGTGGTGCTCCCGCTCCGGCTAGTTTCTGGTGCAAAGGATGTCCGTTGCAATTCAACGAGGCAATGCTGTCAGTATCATGGGCACCGGGAGCGACGCGGGGCGGGTTATATGATCTGACTTGAATAAAAACAATAATAATTGTAATTTAAATGTATGTGAAAAACGATTTTAATAAATATTTGTTATTATGACTATATGGATAAATAAATATGGATAAACTTATAGTTTAGATTCCGACTTGTAATTCGTCATGTTAGCAAAGATGATTTATATAGGCTGATTTATATTTTTACCAAACAAAATGAGTAACCAATATTGTTTACTCTCCCCTATATAGGCCAATTAAATTATATCTCATCACCTGTGTGTATACCACCGTAATTAAGTATATACCACCGTAAGTGTATACCACCGTAATTATGTACACGAAACTCTGCACTTCTATACCTAAGATTAAAACACTGAATTAATCTAACGCAATATTATGTAGCTAAATAGCTTATTTTTTTGTTTGAACGTGGTAATCTCAGCAACTACTGGTTCGAATTTAAAAAATATTTTAGGTTCGATGGCTCATTTATCGAGGAAATCACGATATGATCAATAGAAGCTTAGTATCAATGAAAACTATTACAAGAAGGAGGAAAAGAACGGGTTGCACTCCGGGAGTGCCGGCAGAAGTGAAAACTTGAATATTAACGTTGTGCATTTTTGATATTTTGGAATGGTTAGGGAATAATTTTGCACGAATTGCTTTAATTATCAGTAGAAAAGTACTATCATTTATGTGGTAGAATACAATATTTATTTATTGCGCTATCGTACATAAACATAACAATTTATCGAGACGATGTCACCATCCATGGATGCGCGTGGCACGCTGTAACATAAACACACACGAACATTCGCGCAAGCGCCCTGAGCCGCCTAAACGAAACAGCAGGCGCAGGCATACATTTTCGCCGCGCCGTAGAAAGAGAGGGGGATACTTCCTCTACTACGCCGCGCCGGCTGTCTACTCTCCATCCGTCTTACGAATTTTCGAGCAGGTCACGTGTCCTGACGCGAGTTTTTTTTTTTATCTATTACAAAAAAAGTGTACAACGCCGCTAAAGAAGTTTTCACATCAAAAACCCGTTTTCAGAAGTAGTTTCAAGATAGGAGTGACTGTTAATTTAAACAATCGCTTTACTAACGTGTGTCAGCGGTAGTCCTTGCATGTTTTAGTAAAAGGTAGATTGGCACAGCAGGTTGCACTGGAGTTTTGAACGCATGATTTGGGGAGCTCCTCCACCTTATTAAACTACGTGTTGTTGTATTTGTTGCTGGTAAAAGGGTGAACTCCTTCGGATAGGGTTTATATATGCATAAATACGTATTGTATTTATTATAACATATAAAGAGAAGGAAATCTTGAAACAAACCCTATACTAACCCGTCTGGCCAGCGTGGTATAAGTAGGCCAAAACCTCCTTTCTAAGGAGAGGCCTATGTCCAGCAGTGGACTAGTATAGGCTGTTGACGATGATAAATTCTAGTAGTCCCTGTACTCGTTAAAGTAATTACATACGTGTATACTAACTAGGTTTCATTATGGAACATGTAAGGTGGTCGTATTACTTTTTAATCTGTATACTATTACGTAAATAGGATTCTTTTCACTTTTTAAAAACTAAGTGTTAGAAAATCAGAACCTCTGTTAAATTACCATGATTCTATTCGCGAAAACCTGTAATTGGCTTGATGTAGTATATCAATCTGACCATTTCATTTTTGTAGCTGTTAGTTTTCCTTACTGAAGTAAATAAATAAATAAAAAAACTGCCGATAGAGGAATGTCAAATTTGTAATTGTGTAAGTTTAGTATAATAATATGTTATTTTTGTAAACTCAGTCAAAAAGATAGAAGCTTTTAATATGTTTAAGACAATTCATACTAGTTTATGCGTATATATATTAAAACCTTATTTCAAAACAATATTAATATACGAGTAATAGGGGTTAAAATATGAATTTGCCGTTGTATAGTAATAGATACTTTGAATTGACATAAAACCTTCATGGTGTAAGTCTTTCGTTTGAAGCTTTTTTCAAACGATACCTATGAGATTCTTCTTTTAAAAAATGTGAAAGATTCGATTTTCGACTATCAATTGTTTTTTTTATTCAGCTTCGACGTGAAAAATTCGAGTCATTTTATCCGAATACGAGTTCCGACGCGGAATTGGTGAATAACGCTGAATTGAAGGAGATGGTGGAAGCCGATCCGAGTCAAACTACCCAGGAATTAGCGGCATTGTTTAACGTTACCCTATCCTACCCTACCTATATTGATTCATTTGCATCATAACATAACATAAAAAAAAAATGGGTGCCTTATGATTTGCCTGGTCTGCAGAAAGAAATGCGTGTTGAAACTTTTGTTGCCTTGTCAATTCCTTGCCAATTCATGGTACCGAAATGAAGGAATATTTGATCGAATTGTGACATGTGACGAAAATTTAATGGTTTACGATAACCGTAAGCGAATAATGCAATGGCTGACCCCAGATCAAACGCCGCAACAGTGCCCTAAAGTAAAGCTTACCTATAAAAAGTTAAGGTTTGGTGGTCTCTTCATGGTGTTATTCACTATAGCTTTCTCAGGTCTGGTCAGGCAATAACAGCAGATGTTTACTGTGCTGAACTTCGAACAAAGATGGCGAAACTGGCAGTGAAACAGCCCCGACTCGTAAATCAATCTTCACTATTATTGCCCCATGATAACTCAAGACCTCACACTGCACGAGAAACCGTTAAAACTCTACAGGAGCTGTAGTTAGAAACCATACGTCATCCTTCGTTCTCGCCAGACCTTGCTCCAACGGACTATCACTTTTTTTTGTGATTTGGACAATTTTCTACGTGATAAAAAGTTTTCTTCACAGGAGGCAGACAAAATGCTTTCACGCAGTTTGTTGAATCTAGATCCCCAGAATTCTATGGTAAAGGCATAAATGAACTACCGTTTCGATGCCAGCAATGTATTTACAATGAGGGTTAATATTTTGATTAAATAAATATGTTACATCTTAGAAAAATACGAGTTTCAATATTTCAGTACAAATTAGAAAATTCATATTTTAACCCATAATATTAAAGCTTTTTTTATGTGTATATAATAAAAAAAAAACATTCAGTACTGATTAAATACCTTTATTATGCACCACATCAACGATACGGACAGGATTTCAACGTCTAAGAAAATAATATTTACACTGAGAACGTTAACAGACAACAGCCGTAATTACCATCCGTGGCCATAACCACCGTAAGATGAGATGTATTTCTGTATTATCGGCTGTGACACAGTTTGTACTACCGGCGCAGCATGTACCACAGGCTGGGCCACTGCCTGTACTACAGGGGCAGCTTGTACCACGGGCGCTGCGTGTACTATAGGTTGGGCCACAGCCACAGGGTGCACGATCTACAAAAAATATAATTCATAGTAAATTAGCGGTTATTGATCCAACCTGCTCAGCCAAAGGGTTTCGGTTTCCACTTAGGACAAATAGTTATATAAATGGCACAGTCATTTGTTTTGTAGTCATATAGCAGTCTGGTTTCATGATAACGGCTCTGTCTAGTTTGTGTGGATCTCAATGCATCCCAACTACTATGCGTGAACTGTGTCAAGACATTATTATATGGATTATTTTTATATTAAGTACACTGAAGTTCAACAAATTGTTATTTAATTTAACAATTTAAGCTTTCTATATCGGTCAACTTACCCTCTGGAATGATGAGTAGCTTGTAGCTGGCTTAGCAATGGCGACAGGCGCGGCGTGTACTACAGGTGCAGCGTGTACCACAGGTGCAGCTTGTACTAATTGTGCTGTTTGTACCACTGGAGCAGCTTGTACTACTGAAGCGGAATGTACCACAGGCTGAGCTACAGTATATTGTTGTGCTACCACTTCCGGTTGTTGCAAGTATCCCACCGATGACAGCTTTAAAATAACATTCAAATTTTAGTGTCTGTAACAATTTGCAACTTAAATTAGATTTATGGTATTTAAATTGTTGAGGAACGAGCGCTATGTCCGTCCATCACAAACAGCACAAAAATTCCAGGGGATCATTTAGTAGCAATTCACTAAATTTTTATTGCTACAGTTATTTTTGATATAAAACTTTGTTGAACTGAAAGCCGACTGTCATAAAACTAGGCGAGAAATCAAATTAGGGTCAAAATAGTAGTTAAACTGTAATTCAGGCAATCGTAGACCACAAATCTTTTCCTTTGACATGTGACGTATTTCGTTGTTATGATTTTTTTAGCATTTGAACTTTGAATTTCCACCTTTTCATGGATTAGGATACTGGATTGGAAGAACTGCACTGGATCCTAACCTAGCGTTTGCACACCTAGTGTGTTACGCGAACAAATAGACTATTACTCTGGATAATTCTAAGTGTGTAATGTATGTGACACGTTCAGTATCCTTTATCCCACAGAAAGCCTTTAAAAAAACTTGAAGCTGAACCAATAACTTGATGATTTATGTTTGAAACTTAATGGGTGTGCTAAACTAGCACTAAACTAATGGAATAGTGCAAAACTAGTATTGTTCTCACAACCTATAAATTTAGAAAATACTTCGATGAAATTGACCGAGTACAGCATTTTTTTTCAACATGGTGTGGAATCCGCGAATGGCCTTGACCGAGGGCTGAATGTTTTGGGCGGGCAATGAAAAATGCCAAGCAAAGGTTGCCCAGTAAAAATACTTTATAAGGGCAGCTATTTAAATGCCTCATAGTATTGTTTCTTAAGAAAATATATTAACGTAGTGAAATTGTGTAATATAATATCCTTATAATTTTTTATTTCTACTTACATCGAATTAAATTCAAATCAAAGAAGTATTAGGTTTTTTTTCGGTTTTGCCGACCTTATTAACAATGTTACAGAAAAGTATGACAAATGTACATTAAGTTTTTGAAATGACTTTATAATATTGAGCTATACTCTGCAACCATGAGTTATGGCTAATAATGACATTTCATTGCTTTATTTTTTATTAAAAAAAATATGTTTATGGTATTAGTTGAGATGTTTTAATAAGTAGCATGATTTTGTAATCAAACCAAGTCGATGACAGATTATGAAGTTATTAAATAGACGAACTTTTTTCTTTATGTTAGATGGGACAGACGAGCAGACGTGTCACCTGATGGAAAGTGACCATCGCCGCCCATGAACGTCTGCAACTCAGGAGTCACAAATGCGTTGCCGGCCGTAGGAAGGAGTACGCTCTTTTCTTGAAGGTTTGAAGGTCGTATCGGTCCGGAAATACCGCAGTTGCTAACCCGTTCAACAGATTGGTTGTGCGGGGCAAAAATTGTTAAAAAAAAATACAAACAGACAGACAGAGTCGTGTTTGTTGAGTAAGTACAACGTAATACTATTATTCTGCCTTCAATCTCGTCATATTTCAAAATAAAATCGGGTATTCCCAACTTCTATTACTATAACTATCTAACATAAAAATCAGAAAACTCCTGTGGGCCTTCTTAGATTATCAAAATAAGGCCATAATAATTAACCGTAACAAATATACACACACGCGCCAACACTTTACAATTAAAACATAACGTTCAAAGTAAGGTATTTAAGTAAGCTCGTTTATGTTATTTAATAAACAAACATTACATTACATTAAATGTATTATAAGATATTCAGGTACTTACAGAGGAGTCATGGAAGTCGTTGATGTAGCCAGGCTTGGCAGCGACAAAGGAAAGCAAAGAGAAGAGAATCTGGAAACAAGAACCAGTGAATTAGAATCAGTATTGGAATTGAAAAATAAAAATTAAGACCTATTAGCCAAAGTGAATGGTGGTATGTGTTTAAAGAACATAATTTAACCGCCGGAGGAACCTCACTCTCTCTGAATATACAACGAAAGAACATCATCAACAGCCTTTAATAGTCCACTGCTGGACATAAGTTTCTCCGGAGAAAGGAGGTTTTGGCCTACTATACCACGCTGGCCAGACGGGTTGGTATAGGGTTTGGGGTGCTGGCTAGAAAACCTCCTCGTGGTGCACCCTGGAAACGCTGGCGATGGTACTGTTTCCTCCTTGTCCTCTTGGAGGAGAGGATTATCGCCAGCGGCTAATATTCTAGCAGAAGAGGTAGCCGTTCATCGGCTCTCGGGCAAGGCCTGGTCCAGCAGGGTGGGCGTGTCTGCCGGTTGCCCTGCTGGCTCTTCGCTCTTCGGAGCATGGAGGAGGAAACCTCGGTAAAAAACCGGATGGTGGGGCCCTGTAGGGGCCACAGTTTCTCCGCTGACAGCGGTGGAGAAAGGAGGACGGGCTCGGCGTGTACTGACACTACCACCGAGCAGGCAGGGGGACGTAGTCTCCCTGTCAACCGTCGGCATATCGTAATCCCGAGAAGAGCGCTGTGGTTAAGTCTCGCGGCTCTGATCGGGGGCGAGGGTCTTGGCTTAACCGCCCGGACCGCGAGGAAGATAACCTCTCTAAAAAATTTCCCGAATCCCGTGTTCTGGTGCGTGGCCAGGGGATGCATGGCTGATGGGAAGTTCAGTCTCGAGCGCACTCCAAGCCGAGGTACCTGCGGACCCCTCGGTTGGGTTAAAAACTTACGCTTGCCCGGGTAATGGGGGATCTCTGCCCGGGTGGACCTTTAGTTCTCCCCCACTCGTGGGATTTAAAATGGATAAAATTCAAAACTCAAACCAAAAGAAAACGATCGGAAATAACCAACAACAGAAGGCAAGTCTAACGGAAACGAAAAAAACGAAGGGAAGGAAGGAGAAGCAGAACAGTGGAGTCGATGGGTCGTCCACTGAGGGTGAGGTGGCGTCGGGAACGCCTATCTCGATGGGGCTCCCAGAGGTCAGTCTGACTCTGGTCTCTGGGAGCCGAAGAGCATCGGATCGTTTGCGTTCCGGATCCGCCGTTTCATCGGATGGCGCGGAGGCCATGGAAGCGGAGCGTATCGACAGCCGGAAATGCGGACGCTCCAGGGAGGAGGGGACCGACACGTCCGGCGAAATGATGCCACCAAAAGTGGCAAGCAGCCGTCGAGGGAGGGCACGCAAACCGGCCTCGGTTTCGACCCCGTCAGGCTCCGCGTGCTCAAACGCGGAGTCCTACAGAAATGTGCGAGTGGACGGCGAGGCCGTAGCGGAGGAGGAGATCGCGGATCTCCTGCTCAAGGTTCGGGAGCCGGTGGGGGGAAATGCCCCCCAGGCTCCCGTGTCCGTGCAGGAGACGGCGAAAGCGGCGGTGGCCGTCATTCACAAGGTGGCCACCAAGTCCGTGAACCTTAAGGGCTCATTTGTGAGGGCCCTTAAGGACTCCTCCTCCGCTTTGTCGGAGGTCGTGGAGGGCCTAGTGGGCGACGTCTCACGCCTACAGGTGGCCAACGAGAGGCTGACGGAGCGGGTGAACGAGCTGAGCGCTCAGTTCGCCCGCTTCCAGGCGAACCTCCCCGAGCGGGAAGCCCCGTCCGCGTCCCAGCCTGCCCCTACCACCAACTCAGGGGCATTTGACTCCCAACTGCGAGAAATCCTCATCGCAGTTGGGAATATGCTGGACGGACGCCTGGCTGGCCTGGAGGCGAGACTGCCCCCTGCGCCGATTGTGCGCCCCCCGCTCGCGTCGGCACAGCGGCCTAAGGCCGCCGCTCCGACCGCGCTCCCCGTGGTGGGAGGCCGCGTTTCTTACGCGGCGGCGGCGTCTGCCCCTACTCCATCGGCTCCCCAAAAGCCGAGGAGGGGGGCCAAGGCACCGGCTAAGGCGCCGGCCAAGGCACATCCCCAGGCGCCGGCCAAGACGGGGCCCAAAACAGCGCCGAGGAGCGGAGTGGCATTCCCTCCGCTCCCCACTCCGACACCCCTGCCGGGCCCCTCCGCACCTGCCCCCTCCAACGAGGGTTGGCAGGAGGCGAGGGGCTCCAAGAAGGCCCGAAGGCGGGCCAGAAGGGCTGCCCAAAAAGCAGCCCAAGCCCAGCCTTCGCCACCGGTGGCAACGGCCTCTGCAAAGAGGCCGCGGAAGCTGCAGCCGCCCAAAACCGCGGCTGTAGTTGTGACCGTGTCCCCGGAGGCGGCTGACGGCGGGCTGTCCTACGCGGCCGTTTTTAAAAAGGCCCGGGACAGCCTCGCCAACGACTTTGGGACGGTGGGGGTCAAGATGCGCCTTGCCCAAACGGGAGCTCGAGTTCTCGAGTTCCCAGGGGCCGAAGGCGCCAAGACGGCGGACACTTTCGCCGAGAGGCTGCGGGGTTTATTCGCGACCACGGATGGTGTCAAGATCGCCAGGCCTACCAAGTGCGCGGAGCTGCGCATCTCGGGCCTGGACGACTCTGTGACGGCCGAAGATGTCCGCGCTGTAATCCGGGAGAAGACGGGGTGCAGCGCGGACAACGTCAGGGTCGGCACCATCCGCCCCGGTCCAGGGGGGCTTGGCGCCGTGTGGGTCAGCTGTCCCGTAGCAGTCTGCCCAGCATGGGCGGCGCAGCGCCGGGCCCTCACTGCAGTCATCGGAGTGGATCTCTCGCTACCGGCCGTAGTACGCTCCATGGCCGGTAGCGACAGTTGTTTTACCGCGGTTGCAACCTTCTGCGAGGTAGTAATCTCGCGGAAGGAGGCGGCGGAGAGGGCCCGGGAGGACGACCTCCACTAGGACCCGATCCGCCGCCGGCGAACCGGGCGGCGGAGGCCCGCCTATCACAGCCTCATGCCGCCCTGAGTGTGGCCGCGGGTGGACGGGGTGGGTTTCCCCTCCACCCGCATTAGTTTGGCCAGCCGCGAGGGGGCGGCGTCCGCGTGTGCCGGACGTCGCCTAAAGAGAGGAAAATATATTGAGACGGAGCCCGCACCAGGAGCGGGCTGGCGCTAGGAGGGGGCGGGATGTCTTAACAACAGCTGTTCCCGGATCCCTCCTATTACAGGCGCAGAGTGGCACACCGTGTGGTTTTAGTCGGTCCGAGTCCGACACACCACCCCGCCGCAAAACCCCGGAGGGGTGACGGTCCGAGGGGATTTCCACACGTTAAAAAAAAAAAAAAAAAGGCTTTGTGTCAAGTTTTCCTTCTCTCTGCAGTGCTGTTGTCCTGCGTAGTTTTTTCCCTTAGTCGGCTCTTACGACACCCACGGGATGAATAGGGGTGGTGACACTCTGTATTCTTAATCCGTCACCACACGGACCAACGAAAGAACGTATTAATCAAAAACACCGGTTTTCTGTGACGCCGTAGTATCACTGGTCGAGGCGACTCTTATGTGGATGGTTCTCCCACGGTTAATTGTTTTTAAACATGTCTGAAACCTATCTAAGTTAAACTTGTTGTATCACAAATGACCATATGGGCAAGAGATAAGAATAACCGAATAATTTCAAAGGCCTTTTTATGTTAATACTTAATTGTCCGTAAAGATAATGATAAACTACGACCGCTCAAGATTATTGATTGATTGAAGAGATTTTTAAAACCTCACCAATAATAAAAACTGTTAGTTTCAAAAGTATGATACATAAATTTCAACATAGTATGACAGCTATTGTAAATAATTTATATACAATGAAATTTAACCTCATATTCTTCAACTATGAATTATTTAAACATCGGCCGGTGAAGTTCAAAATATTCGTCAGAACTATTTGATTACTGTTACAAATGTAAAATCAATATTGAGAGCTCTAACTATTGTTTTCCACTTTGACTTTCATTGCAAACATCTATAGAAATGTTGAGTACATATATAATCACATACACTTACGTGTTTTACAGACAGACAGAGTCGTATTTGTTCAGTAGGTACAACGTAATAGTATTATTCTGCCTTCAATCTCGTTTTGTGGTAAAACAGTTTCAAATTAAAAATAATTATGTTTTATGTTTTTAACAAAAAAAGGAGAAAGTTCTTCATTCGATACTTCTTTCTATGTTTGATACATCCAAACTAAGTTATTTATGACCTGATTTGGGAATTTTTTTCGTGATTGGGAATTTAAATTAAATTTTAATTTAAATATTAAATTATTTCAATTTTAATTTGAAAAAAAAAGGGTGGAAAATTAAATACAGTTTATTAAAATTAACCATGATCGCTTTGAAGTCGCTTGACCCTGCTTAAAAAGTTAATTATACACCAATATTAAATTGACAGTTTAGAATACAATTTTCTTACTTAGAATTGAGTATAATTTATTTATGTACCTAAATTTATTAGTGTTCTCGTAGTGTTGGTGGTAATGTTAATATTAATACTACTTATGTGCAATAAGATATCTTTGTAGTATATTTGTCCATTTATATATAAATAAAGTTAAATGCACAGTATATTTTTTTTTAGACAGCTCCTGCTCTAGGAATATATATATTGTGTATATATATGTATAATATATTGTGTAGCGGGGGACTTTACAAACCTCCACGAAATCAACACAAAAAACGCCCAGTCTCAGAACAACAATTTGTTGTTCACACAAAGTGTTGTCTCATGTGATGATCGAACCCCTTCGCCATTCGTGCAATCAAAATGTCAACGAAAAGGACCACACAGAAAAGCGAGACCTGTGACTCACCTTCCAATAAGGTAAACTTTCAGCTTGTCAAGGAGGTGGAGGCCCCGGCGAGAGAAATTCACTTTTTTATAGGGACATATACTATAAAAAAAGTGAATATATACACGTGCAGACAAAAAAAAGTTATGCTGATGGCAAGTGACTACCGTCGCCCAAAGACTTAATAGCGGTTGCTTAATAGTGTTTTTTTGTGATTGTGATATCACCCTAGTTGAGCCGGCCTATAAGGCACTCCCATGGTAAAAATAACTAAGTCTGTAAATAAATTGTTTAATTTTTCACAAGTAACAAAATATATTTAGAAGAAAATATACTCACAAAAGCCCGCATGTTGACTGCAGCAACTGAACTGAGAATGTAGTGTGTGCAATTATTGGATTAAACACACCTTATATACTCAAACGGAATTTTCGGATATACACATATCGACATCTTTATGTAGAGCCTAGCCTATCTAATGAATTATTAATTAACATAATTTGCTCTAATTTTTTTAATAACTCGCGAGTTTTACATTTTTAGTTTTTATGCGTCCGTCGTGTTTATAAATAAGTTTAAGGATGCAACGTGAAATAAAAATACTTCTTTAATGGATTTTTATGAAGTAAGAACTCAGTATTTGACACAATATTAATATAATTATGGTTTTCTTTTTATTATGTTTCCTTTTATTACGTCAATTTGCTTTATCTTGTCCACAAGGTTGGAATATATCAACGACAAATATGCATATTATAAACTACGCAGAACAACAACACTGCAAAGGCCACGTCTGGCCTGCGTGGTGTAATAGACCAAAACCTAATTTCTGAGGAGAGGCCTATGTCCAGCAGTGGACTAGTAAAGGCTGTTGATGATGATGAATTAAGCTATCGAAAATTTTCAGGCAGACGTCCCAACCCACCCATTTAATCTATCATGCAGATTCATCTCAGCCAATTCGAATACTGTGGGTGAGCCAAACTTCATAATGAAAGTGCTGGGTCGGTCCGAGTAATATCATAGAATATACACACATATCCGTGTGGTGACGGATTAAGAATACAGTGTGTCAACACCCCTATTTATCCTGTGTGTGTCGTAAGAGCCGACTAAGGGAACTACTTACTACAAACTACGCAGGACAACAGCACTGCAAAGAGAAGGAAAACTTGACACAAGCCATTTCCAACCCGTGGCCAGCGTGGTATAGTAGGATAAAACCTCTTTTCTAAGGAGAGGCCTATGTCCAGCATGGAAGCAAACAGCATGGACTCGGGTCGACCCAGCATTTTTATGATGAAGTATGGCTCACCAAACAAAATAAATTAATTATGCTGAGATGATTCTGCATGATAAATTACATGGTTGGGTTGGGACGTCTGCCTAAAAATTTTCGATGGCTTAATTGTCGTTGATATGTTCCCAATCTTGTGGGCAAAATAAAGCAAATTGACGTAAACGGAATACCAAATATTTTCCATTAAAAAAAAGCGTGAACTAATATTTATCTATCGTAATTAATTCAACTAACTACAACTATTTCTTAAAGAAAATTTGATCCATCTTAGAAGGCTATGTACAATTATGGAGGACTTGTTCGAGACCCGTTTATTAAGTTATTGATTGAATGTGTAGTCATACTTATAACTTAAATGTGTAGCCATTTTAGTAAAAATATGGTTTTGAAGAATCTATGTACTGTAATTTATCCTTGTTAAATAATTTTTAGGCTATAGATTAATAAGATTTTGGAATTGATATACAAATATTGTATTTTAAAGTGGTGTGGGTTAAATTTCATTAGGATCTGATGATGAGTTCCGAGACAGACAAGGGAACTCTGGGTTTTTAGTGCTTTTCGTTAGTAAGTATTGTTTGAAGTCGGGTCAACTCTTAAAAATAGGATTTTATTGATTTCAAAAACACAGGGACCCGAGTATAAGCAAATTTTTATCCATTTTAAAATATACTGGATATTCATAGTTTTATGTAATTTATTTAAATAATTGTTATCTTTATAAGCATAATTATATTGATTAAGTTTTTAGCATTCAATCTTCATGCACTTAGTCTACGTGCAAACTTTAAGTGTATAAAATAATTATGATATGCTTCCGTGTGTCGTTTTTGTTTAACAGTATCTTTTGATCTCATTTTAATATAATAATAACCATACAAATATCATTTACAACACTTTTAGAATTGTTAGTTATTTTTACTTTTATGTTAAGTTAGTTTTAATCTAATTCCAGAGAATTCTAAAAAGATTCAGTATCATTAAGTATAACCTATATCTTAAATTAAAAAATAACTGTTGTTAAATCGCTCGCTTTTTTTCTTCTTTTCTTTCTTTCTTCTGACACAATATCGCCAATCGAAGAACTTTGATATATTCTCGGGGGCGATCCAGCAGCCTTAGGTAGATCCAACTGCTAATACAAGGAGAGGGATCAACTAGTCCTAACCCAGGGGGTTCATGACCTCCATGACTCCATGCATCCCTTGAAGGACAGTCTAAAAACATTCTAGTTACTTAGGTATTCAATGATTAATTATGTATTCGGTACATAAGTCCTAATGGTAAGCGTAATTTTTTAACTGGGACACAATAAGGTCATTCACACAAGAACAAAGCATACATGATACATTCACGATCGATAGCAGCAATCAGGTTAGTCATTTTGTTGATATATGTCTAGAAATATTACTGATGGAAAGGCCTGATAGACCTGTGTAGACTACACTTTATTCACACACTCACGAGTATACTAAATGTATACACTATGGGAGTGAGTCAATACTCACACGTTTGAAGATTCAATAAAGATTTAGTGTGGAAGTAATTATTTAATTTTAATTTTACTTATTAGGTTTAATAAGTTAACAAAGTATATTAAATGCAGGATTTATAACAACTTATAACTTGATGTCAATTAAACTCAGATGGAAGGGTTTCCTCACAAATTATTACCTGGTTTATTATGCGATCGTTTGAAAGTATGCGTTTTGTAATCTTTTAAACGCTTGTTGAATTATAATGCCTTTTTTTTGTTAGGAAATTCTCTCAGATCGTCCTTTCAACAAGTCATTCGGGAAGCTCTCATTAAACAGTGCCAAGTCGCCGTGGCCGAATACGGTCTGGACTTACACACACACACACACATAGGACTCGAACAGATTAAGTGTTTCGTCATCAGGTCTTTTGCTGTCAATTTCTGTGAATCTCGGCAGGCCTTAATTTATCATATCTCAGTAATAGCTATACTTTTAATTAAGGCGGGTATAATACATTGGATTTTTACAAGTCATTTTAAAATATTATTATATTTAAAGTCTAATTATTTTTACTAAATATTTGAACAATTTTTCTTCGTTATAAACCCCGCTCGCCTCCCGCTTTATAAATTACGTTTATCTAGGGCACATTTCCGACATAGTGTCTACTCGTAGGACATCTAACACTAGATTTTCTTGCCATATGAAGTAAATTGTAACTGCGGATGTGCTACATACCACCAACTACTTTGGTGAACAGGTAAAATATAAACACATTATGTAAGGATAAAATTAGAAGTTATGATTATATAAAGAAAACCCAAACTTAAGACTATTGCCCGATTATATATATATATATTTAGACAATTTCCTTTTAATCTATTCAAGTAATCACGACTCTTTGTGTTCTTTTTTACGCTATCATCAAAATCACCAGCCTTCAGTAGTCAACTGGCTTGATATAGGCCTTTTCTTAGAAATAAAGTATTGGTCTACTGTACGGGTTGGGATAGCGTTTGTTTTAAATTTTCCTTCTCTTTGCAGTGCTGTTGTCCTGCGTACGGGATGAATAGGGGTGGTGACATTCCGTATTCTTATTCCGTCACCACATGGATAAATTGTTGATTTTTTATGTATGTAGAATAAATTATTTAGAGGTTTGAAAATATTTAAGAGTCATTCACACATGCAGGCTATTAAATATGAATTCTCGATATCATGGCAACGTAAGTTGTAACGTTGTAAGGAAGTCGGTTAATTTGGCATTGGTATTTGGGGACAAATACTTTACATTTGTCGATAACTGTATCGGGTACTTTGTAATTTATAATAGTATTGAGGTACAAGACCAAGATGGACTGCAAGCCGCAAAATTGCAACCTCAAATGGCACCATTATTTAGAAGCAGGTTGTCCACTCTTCATTATATAGACTCAACGATTAAGTTACTTTCTTGGGTGCGTGCAATTACACGGATGGCACAGTAATCACCTCTACGAAGTACCATGTGTTGTGGGTTCGATTCCCACACGGAATCATATTCCTATGGTTCATCGCGATACAGGAATTATTTCTAGTGTAGGAGTTTTATCTACAATACTGACGATTATGACAATAAATGTGGCAAAACAGCAGACAGTAAAGGATGGCCAGTGTCTACAAACAGTCGCACCAACAAGCTTCAGTATTGTCACTGGTGCGTTGTTGAACACCTCTCGTAATGTTTAGCAATTACCCGCAAAAGTAGAAAAATATGTTTTATAAATATATAAAGTTATGTACATCAGTAATGGGACTAAAATTTTAGTAGCTGGAAAATTCCGCGAGTGTTGCCGTAGGGATATTGGACAATCTGGCCAACCCTATATTTAAGGTAATTAAGGAATATTTTTACGTACATTGCAACACATACCTTTAAGATAAAGTTATTTAGAACTAATCTGTACTTCGGCAGATATTGTCGGGTCCCCTAATAGGGCAGATACCACGCTTTAGGACCGTCTACCTTGCTGTTACGGACGTATACAGACCACCTACGGCGATTGGTATGTGAATTTTAAATCGATTACATGGAATGGATATGTAAATATTAAGGGTATTACTTATTTTGATTCATTTCATTGGTATGTGTTGAGGTAGGTCTTGTAATTGTATAAACTTTTGAACAGTGAACTGTCAAAATATATACCGTTTCATTAACGTTTTAGGTGATACAGTAAAAAAATATTAAGCAGAAAATTAGCAATGGCTTTCAGCAAACATTTAACTATTTTTGTGATCAAAAGTTATTAAGTTAAATATTGTTGGGATAGGCAATTTTCTAAGTATTTTATTGCAATTTTATAGACAATGAACCACAAGCATTTTCAGGACTGATTGATGTGTGAGTGATTCCTAATGCATTGTTGTTTTGTGTAAACATCGGTTAGTCGACGAAATTACAAAATATAGAGAAAAATAAACTATTATTTCCTACAGTTATTAATAACAATTAGCTGTAAACAAAGATAAATGATTGATTCTTATAAAATTAATCAATGAATTTTTTTCTCAACAGCGATGCGTGTTTTTAA